ATCGAAGGAACTGTTTAGAGAGTCAGAAGCACAGAAGGAGAATTTGGAGATTTCATAGAAGAAGGATGACTGGTTATGTGAAAAGCTATTTAGGGTCCCAGGGAGACGTAACAAGATTCAGATCCTGAAATTTTCCTACTAGAAGAATAGAACAAAATTTAAGAGAGGTTTCAGTTAAGTTTCAGTGGAATGGAGACTGCAAATCTGATTGAACAGGTTCAAGAAGTAGGCTACATGAAATTAATTCAGCAGGAAATTGTAGATTATGTAGACAGATAGAAATTCAATAAGCTTGGCAAAAGAGAGAAAAGCAGAGGCTGAATCATAATGGCAGAAGTAAATACAACAAAGGATAGACATACTAAAGTTAAAAGACACCTCTGGCCATGTACTTCATCAAAATTACCATAAATCAGCACAAGGGATTCTAGTAAGAGCTGATTATGTTCCTGTCAAAAGTTCTCATCTTGGGACTCATTTATGCTCTCATCTCTCCCTTAAAATTTCTCTTCTGGAAACTCTGTAACAAAATTTATCTTATTTTTTTTATCAAGTTTATTAAATAGAACAATTTAAAAGTTTGACCTTATTGCTGGATAAAATAAAATTAAATTTTCCATCTATACTAAAGAATTCTTAAAGTGCAAGGTAAATATTTTTTAATTTTTTTTTTGCTATGCCTCTAAAACTTCCCCTATTCATCATTTTTAAATGGTAAGTAACATGGAATTTAATCTATGTAGAAGATAAAGTGAAATTCAGATAAACAACAGCATAAATCATTAATCTTGTTATTCTCAAGCAAACACATTTCAGTTATTAAAATGAGACCGTTTATATGAATATTCTTGTAACCATATTTTGCCCACCCTTGCCCTGTTTTGCTGGAACAGGAATATATATGATGGCTGTCACTGGATGATTTTGAAAACCTTAGTGGGGAGGGAAAATGCAGTTTTTTGCCAGCCACACCCTAGCTAGTTCCACCTGGACAGCTTGCCCGCTTTCAAGTCTGACAGCCTGCTATATTATGTTTTCATATTATGTGTCCAGCTAGCTTAAAACTTGAATCTGGGATCTTATGGCTTGTGTTTATACGATAGTGGGCTAGCATTCAAGATAAGAATTCACATTATGCATTCCACGATGTGCTGTGTCAGTGCTGCAAGTCCTGAGTTGGTGCATCCTCTAATTATCTTGTGTTCGTGCAAAAGTCAGTCACAGAAGTGAAACTTGTCCAGACAACCCCCTCCTTACTTACTTTGCTCAATCTTATGACACTAACTACCAGCTTTGCTTCCAGAGGTTTTCCAGACCTCTGCTGTTTCTTTTTGGTCTGCCTGTCTTAGTCTGTTATTTTTCTCTAAGTCAACATACCCAAAGCAGAGCCAAAGAATGCAAAGATTATCCACTTCCAAAATCTTTTCTCCATGGACAGACCATATAGCGTCTGCTGATGAATGACAGCTTACTGTTCATTCTCATTACAGTAAAGTGTAAATCTCCTGACTGACTAGGCAAACTGGGAGCTTCTTTGCCCTATAAACTTTCTCAAGTGCCTGCTGGAGGCAGGCGGTGTTTCCCCAATCACTGTGCTTTGCTAGCAATGTCTGAAAATGCAAACTAAACAAATAATCATAATGTATGTAGCACATAACTGGCAGGAAGGATATGTTTTAATGTAAATTGAGTTAAAAGTTCTCAGGCTGAATTGCCTTAAGTAGTTAGGAGTCAGCTGATGGTGTATAATAGCTGCTCAGTCTTTTTCTTGCTTCTTGGTGCAGACAACATTGATTGGCTGGGCTGATTATAGCCCTGCACATCAAAAAGGTTTAAGCTGTTCTTAACACTAGAAAATCGGCTCTTGTGTGAACAGACTTAATGCATGATAAGCTATATGGTGTAGACAAATTTTGTGTGCTTGAAATTGAAGTGAACTTTGTTTGTATGACATACCCATGTAGATATGGCCGATAGCTGTTAGTCTATTGCAGCTCATATTTATTGCTTGCAGTTAAAGTAAAAATCAGTGGCATGCAATTTTATTGAATTCAGGAAAAAAAAAAATATTGTCCTTCTGCCAAAGTTTAAGTGCTACATTTTTTCATTAGAATTTAACAAATGTTCATCTTAAAATAGACTGACAATGGGTCAAACTGTTCCACTTTATCTGTTATGAACTTAAAATTTATCAAAGCTAGTACTCACTCTTCCCAGAGCAATTTGTATTTTCACTCCTGGATTTAACTATCAAGTTTTCCTTAGAAACTACTGTTTAACAGCCACAACATCCTAAAATACTTGAAAAAGATCACTGCAACAGTTTTCTACTTTCAGCTGCCCCACATGACATGTTATGTAGATGCTTTGGGGCATTCTCATCGTTTGTAAATCTTTACCTCTAATGCAGAAGTGTAGTCTTTTTAGGGAATATTCTTGACTAAGATAACTGATGCCTTGTCTAAAGTCTGATATCCCTCTTCATGTTGGCCAGTAATGACCATTCCCTGAATGAAAGTCAGTTTGGAGTATATGCTAAATCTTCCTTCCCCCTTTAGGTTTGTATTCCACTTCATCGCTTACAGGCCCTCATCTTGAACAGGGACCCTTCTTGCTGTCGTAATATAATTAATGGTAATACTTGAGAAGGTAAGTGTGATCCGGTATGAGAAAGGGTATCTTAATCTTGCCCTCTCATGGTAAAGTATATTAAATCCAGGATTTAAAAAGTAGACTAAGCATTGATGGGATTAAACATATTACATATCTTTAAAGAAGGCACATTTATTCTTCAGTGTTTAGTGCAAAGTCCCATGCTGAACTAAATCCGAAAATGAGATGTAGATTCTGGCATATCTAAAAACGTCCAACTGGATCTCTTGGCTCTTGCTTTGATGTGGCAATATTCTTTTAGTGCTTGAACAACATCTTGGGTAGAGGTGAAAATATTACACAGACCCTTTTAATTTCATTGTGTTATTTATAACAATTATCTAAGTCAAATTAGATGTAAATGGCTACTAATCTTTGTGTGTGTGTATGCGTGCCCAACAATTCCTAAATGCCACTAGGAAATTAGAGTAATTTTGATATTAAAATGATTACTACCACTTTTGTAATAAACTCATGCGACTTTAGAAGTCTGTCCCTGATATCTTTCATGATTTAGACATCACACAAGCTATAATTGTGCTATTAAAGGAAAGAGAGCTAATCTTTTTGCATTTGAAGTAAGCCCTCATCATCAGACCCGACAAAGCCAGACAGATCAAAAAAGAGTAAAAGAGAGCATTTAAGGAAATTAGTACAAGTGTCAGTTAAAAGGTAAAAATTAATGCACTTATTATTGAAATACAGTTGAAACCTACATTCTTTTCATTTCTTTGATATTGCTAAAGCATAAAACATTCAATTAACTTTCTATTGTGTTTGGGGGGTAGTGAGGAAAGGCAAAGCATTGTCAGTGAAGTGTTAGGTGTGTAGGTGGCGTGTGCAAGGCAAAAATGATTAGATATGAGCAGAGGGTACAGCAAAGGCTTTTTGACTGGCTTTGCAGTTGACAAAGCCAGTCAACTCCTGTACTGTGTTCCAGGACAATGTTCTTGCATGTATACTGCTTTTCCTAAAGATACAGTACGGAGCCTCTGAGAAGGTAGCATGCATTCCTTTCATCCTCACCAGGGAGTACTTATTTTCCTGATTATTATCTACATCATTGAAACTTGCATGGTTGTGCACCTCTTCCCTAATAAAAGTGAATACAGATAAATTGATAATATTTTTAACCACCGAATAATAGTACTTTGCAACATAATTGAAATAGATACATTTAATTTGTACTTACCCTCAGCCATAAATATGAATTCCCATAGCTGTATTCTTGTATTCTTTGAAAGCTGTTACTAACAGTGCCGATTTGTAAAAACTGATTTAAGATATTTCCAAAATACATCCTTGATTTACAACTGTTATATATTGGCAACACCGAAGCTGCAAATAATTTGTAGTAATGCAGTAGTTTTTCCCATCCTTTGTGCTTTTTAAAGGGAAAGCAGCTTCTTTTTCCTTTTTTTTCTTTAATGAGAGCACTATACTGATGTAGAATATACAGAGGGAAAATTTTAAAAATCCTATAAACTAGAAATCCCTCTGAACTCATTCAGCTGGCTTGTTAACAAAACCTTTTTAATATATCGATGATGTTTTCTCTCTAATTCCACCATCCTTACAATTTATTTGAATTTCAGTAACATTAAAAAGATGCCGTAATGTTCAAAATGCTTTAATTAAAAGAAGTATTTGCTAATTGGCATAAAATATCTGTGTGATTATTTTTCCATATATTTATGATTTTGCAGTAAGAGAACAGCTGCTAAATATTTTCTTACATGCTGATTTTACTTAATCAACATTCTTCTTAATGGAGGCGACAAAAGTTAGAAATTGTGTTTTACAAATGTGTTCCATGAAAACATCAGCATGATGACAAAGTCAAGCCCTTTGGCGTACAAATGAGCAGGTTTACTGCAAAACACTTCTATGTAGATAGGAGATAAATCTTAGTTTAAAAATCCTTTGCAATATTGAGCACCTTCCAAGCCAAATGTGTACTAGCATTTAAAGAAAATATTACTAGTTTTAACACCCAAACTCACTCTATGTTTTGATTATTATTCCTATTAATATGCACATGATAGAAGTTAATGCCATACTGACAGATTTAATGCTTTGTAAATGTGCTGAATTCAACTAGAAAGGTAAAAGCAGCCATTACCCTAAGACCTAAAAGAGAGACACTAATCAGCTGCTTTTTTCCTCCTATCTTTTTTTGCAGATGGCTGGGAATACAGGTTTTATTTAAAATGCAAGGCTGGAAAAAGCTTAGCCACAGGAAAAAGAAAAGGTCTTGACCTTTAAATATTGATTCTGCTCTATCGATTACAAGAGATGTGGGGGAGAAACTTTTAAAAAATGTAACCCTAAAAAAAGCACAAAACAGATTTAGGTAAAAATTAGCCTGAGATTTGTTATTTACAGGACTAAAGAGTTACAGAATAAAATGCAAAGTGGAGGGAGACCAGGGCACACGTGGGCTCCAGAGCTGATGTTCAGGCCTTATAGACTCAGAAGCCAAAAGCCCTATGCCTCTCCTGGCAGGAGTGCTTTGTCAGAAGGCTATCCTGTCTGTGGAACCTGGGATACCCAGCAAGATCAGGATCTACATTTGCTGGTAAATTCCCTATTATGGGCAAAGGGGCATGTTGTAAAAACTTCCTTTCTTTTCAGCCATGAAGAATAATAGAGCAAGAAGAAAAAGAGCCTCCCCAGCCACTGACAAGTCAGGAGAAAAGATAACAAACAAGGTTATAACCTTACCTCTTGAACTGAACTTTGAGAGTGAAGTGGAAAACTGGAAATTACCTCTTGAACTGAACTTTGAGAGTGAAGTGGAAAACTGGAAATTTCAGGGACAAACAGAAAGACTACTTAGGACAATATTATCCAAGAGAGGCTTTATTAAAAAGGCCCTCAAAATCCTAGGGCAAGTGAGCCTATGTAGTACAACTTCTTTAAAAAAATGTTAAATGTACATTAATTCTGAAGTTCCTGATTTACTTGAGTAATTCTCATTGTCAAAGAACTGAAGCAATTCTACAGATCAGTGAAAGGAAGAACTGCTCCCTAACAGTGTGCCAAAGCCACAAAGAATTTACTATAGATATGTTGAGAAATGGAAATATAAAATAAACACAGAAAAAGCATGTAATCCAAGGCAGTAACATGTATTTTAACGTAACGCACTGCTACACTTTCAGCATATCTGCTTAGCTTTTCCACACTGCATAGCCCAGGCTGCTGACGGGACTTTTCCCATTCTTTTGCCAAGAAAGCACAAAATGTGCAAAATTGTTTCTTTGCATATTTTCTTATAGACTTGTAGAATTTGACTCTCTTAAGGATATTTAAACTACAGAGTATTTGTTAAAGAACTTCTAATCAACAAATTCTGATTTGCAAAATGGGCAGATGTAATAGGACCCAGTCAGGAGACCTACTGTTCTTTCCTGCATATCATACATTATCTTTTGTGATGTTCTTTTGCAGGTATGTTCTCCTCACTGCGCACGCAATCTTTCCGATGACAAGCAGAAGGACTATTGTATGACTATTCAATCTGTCCAGACAGAAGCCACAAGTAGAGTCACAATAGGGTCAAACACTGTATTCAGGTGAGACAGAGTTAAAAGTTATGCATATAAAGTATGTTTCAGTTTTAGCAATCTGAAGTAACTTTTAGAAGCAACCAAGAATCTGGACAGTCGGTGTATAGAGGATATGACCACACAGGAGCTAGGCATGAGTGATCTGGGACAGTGGTGTATGGGATGATTACGTCTTGTGAAAAAAAATAGGGTAGATTGGTCTCCACAGGTAACACAGTGTAACATGACTGTATTGCTTCCAGTGACCAACTGTCTGAGATCTCTGCATGGAAATTCAATGTTCCATATAAAAAAATATAGCCTAAGCTATCATGCTAGGTAGTCTGTTGGTATTATACTGTTCCTTCTCCACTGCTCTTACTTCATTATTGCTGTCTATAGACAACTCTGGGTAATATGTTCTCAGATATATTTTGTTAAAAAGGTTCTCTGGATTTTAAAAACCACATTTATTTCAAAATTATTCTATTCTAGAGTTTTTATTAATTTCAGTATCATCAGCTAATTCTGCAATCAGTGATCCGCTTCACAGTGGAGCTTTAATGCTAACAAACATTAAAACAAATAAAATAATTTTGGTATAGAATCAAAGATGAAATCAAATAATTTAAAGATGATTTTTTTTTTCTTACCAATGTTTACTTCTGCCTGGTTTCACCCCCATCAGAAGAAATCTATGAAGTTTTAAAAGTCTGATAATTTACTTTGTATAACAATTCAGAAATAGGACTTGTTTTTGTGTGTGCATACTAAATGACAACATCTAGGACAGTTGATTTCATCAATAATACACTCCCATTGCAGCAGTTAGTGACAAAAAATGTTTCTCAAGGGAAGTAAATATTTACTTACCTATTTATAAACTTTCTCAGTGCTTTTTATGAAGCTCCTCAGCAGCTCATGCAAAATAAGCTGGTAAATTAGAAAATGCTCTACATAAAAATGGATATTAATCTTTTTCTCTGTTTCACCTGTCTTTCAAAGAACTAACATAAGGAACGTGTAAAAGTCATAATGCAAACTGAGGAACTCCAAATCTCTTTTGGGTTTTGCTTGTTTGCTGAGTTTTGGCTGTCATTGTCTCACCCACATGCTCTGTGGTCTCCGCAGCGTACCTGGAAATCACATTTACTGGCAGGGCTGATGGGCTGGGTCTTACCAAGGCAGGCTGTGAAGGGGCAGCTTAGGTGAGGGGCTGCCCGGGGCTGAGAGATATAGATTCTGCTGTCCCATAGCTCCCAGCTGCCTGGAACAAAATGCTTCTTTGTTTCAGAAGGGCGTCACAAAGATAAAATACACTAAAAAGAACATAGTACTTAGACATTACAGCTTCCCCGGGGGAGGGAACACGGGATCATTTAAGCACCTTAGAAACAGAAGTTGATTAATATAGAACACAGCTTTGTTTTCTTTGAAGTAAGCGTAAAAGGGGAAAAACGCCCTATCCTAAGGAGAAAGAGATATAAGCTAAGAAAATGAAATGCTGCTATGACGTCAAAGGCTAGCATGGTATTATTGTAACATCAATGATTAGGAATTAAAGGAGGCCCTAGTTGTGTATTGCAAACAAGAACATAGTTTTAATGTAACTGTTTAAAGACAACTTCTAGGCTTCCTGCTGCTGGGTGCCCAGATACTCTCGCCCCATAACCTCCCTGAAGCCTGGCCGTCTCCTCTCAGCTGCATGGCACCAGGTGCAGGTGGCAGTGGTGGGGGTCAGATGTGATGGTGGTGGGCTCTTCCACTCTTATCAGCACTGCAGATGCACCCTCTGTCTTTCTGCCTCCCAGGCAGATGACTCCTGTGCAGGAGGGAAGTCGGGGCACTTGCCCCCACTTGCCATATTGCATCATGGAGGAGGTGACATGTCCCTTGTCCACAAAACTCCTGGAAACCCCATGGGACTTAACTGGCCTTTCAAGGCAACATCCATTTCCCCCCAAGCGGAAAGCCTGTTGACATTCAGAAGGAGACTGTGACTCAGCAAGGGTATGGGGGCCCTCTCCTCAGGAGCCCTGGTAATCTGGGAGCAGTCTGGCTGTTTGTGGCTGGCATGCTGTGGTGCAAGCAGGCTGCAGGCCTCCACCACTGCTGGCAGGTTTTGCCTGCCACTTCCCAGTCCTCTATCACCTGCTCCCTCCTCTTTTTATTGCTGTTTGATACTTGAGGTAGCTCCCTGTGCTCTGGACATGTGCAAGTTTCCAGACCTTTACCTCAGCAAAGTCCCAGCACAGACACCTGGGCTTGCCTGAGTGAACCCTGGAAAATATAATCTGCATTTAGGACCCAGTGAATTGATGCCTGCAAAAGTGCTGTATATATCTATACCCAATAATAACAATAGAAAGCTACTAGTTTAGCCATCTAGCTTCCCTCACTGTGTTGCCACCATTATGTTAATAATGAATGGAGTGGCAAAAAAAATTGATCAATTTTTCCTCCTGAAATGCACTGAAGGAATAACTGCTTCTGTAGGACTGAAAAGAAAGATGGTGACTTTTTCCTGGAAAAAAATGGGCAGGAAGACAAGCTGGCATTTACTGTATAAATTTATAAATACTGTATAAATTATCTTCTCTTTCAGTAGGCAGGGAGGCAGAGAAAGAAGTTCTCTTTGGAGGGAAGACCAGTTATGCTTTTCACCTGCAAAAGAGGGGAGGGGGGAAACTGCTTCAATGTCAACTCAGATTCTCATGTTGGTTTAAGAAAAATATAAGTATGTTTCGCAAAGGAATATGAACTCAAAATTTATTTATTTATTTATTTATTTTAAGATGTAGAAAGGAAGGCAGAGAAAGAAAGGAAGTGCCGTGGAGGGTAAGTTCTGCAAAAGGATCTGGTGTTTTTGACCACTGTTCCCATCTGAGTGCATTCAGTGCTGTGCAGCAAAAGAAGGGATACATAACACATTATGATATTATTAGACAGTTCTCTGCTAAAAGAATAGAAAACTAGTTCCAGTAGCCCCAGTGTTGCAGTGGCAACAGGACATCTGTGCTTTTTGATTGTATTGCTGTTTGAAGTGCTTGCCTACGATCTCAGGAAGTAGCCTTAGGCCTCTCATACCACTTACCTGCAAGGGCTGTTAAGTTTGGGTTCCAGATAGCCAAGCGTTCTACCCAAGTACTAGAGCTGTTTTCGCGTGCCTTACATGTTACAGTTTCAGGATTATAGAATGTATATTTTCAATATTTAAGTGTCATCCCGAGGCTGCTCTATGTTTTCTTCTCATGCATCCTGCCCAGCCTTATAGACACACTAATTTGCGTCCTGATCCATGCTCTGGGAATTAGTGTTATGGCACTGAATAAGATTGTAAAGAAGTAAAGTAGTCTTTCTTTTTTTTTTTTCTAACCTCTGTATTTTGAAGGTACTTATCTTGTTACATGAATATGGATGATAGTTTCCTATGAATATGGAAAAGAGTGGGGAGGGATGGGTCAGTGTTTAACTGCTCTTAACCTTTCCACCAAGTTGACCTTACCACGATATGATGCATAGGAGAGGTCAGGCTTAGCTGATTTTCTGTAGAATGCCATTAGTAATTTTTTGCCACAAATATTTGCCCTAAAGCTTTGTTTGCCACCTATATAATTATTAGAAGACTCCTATAATTGTATTTGAAATTCCAGGTTGACACTTATGTCACAGTACCATGGCACACTATTATGTTTAATTTCTCTTTTGTTCATCTCATTTAATGTACTGAAGAATTATATTCAAAAGAAGATCCCACACACTTCTTTTCCTTACCATTACTAGCTATGTGTTCCTCCCCTACCTACTAGAAACATCAATTTAATTAAAAAAAGTAAAGAGGAGAAAAAGCATGTATAGGTTTGCACTCTCAAAATGTAAAGTAGGTAAACACCCCATTTCATATGTTGTTTTCTGAAGCTGAGGTAATAGGATATTTATATTTCCCTGATAAGTAGAACTAATAACCCAGTAGTATTACAGGATGGTGATGTTAAATTAATACTGACTTTGACATATTTCACAATCTGAGCTGTTCAGCCCAAATTACGTTCACTTGATCCTTGTAGAGATCAATTAGCTTCATCCTCCACCCTCGCAAATTTTCTTGGGTGTCTCCTGCAGTACTACTCCCTTTCATCCCAAAACCCAAGGGTGAGAGTCCTCATTATGAAAACTCATGGGACGGTGTTTAATAGTAGGTGACGCTCAGGCTGTTAATTTTCACTGGTCCTAGCTTGGAATGGAAACTCCTGGTGCAGCCACAAAGTGGTCATCTATAAATGGTTATAATAGGGCCACACTGTATGGAAATGGGATAGGATGATCATATGGGAATCCTCAGGTGATGTTCTTGTTAGGTCTTTGCATGGTTGTACCTGATCTCATACAATGATCAGCACCAATGGGAGGGTGATCTGGATTGCCTTCAGATAACAAGGTGAAGAGCAGGAAAAATGAGAATTTCCCACGGTCTCGAAACAGCCAGTCAAGGATGATGTGGACAGCATGCAGGATCTAGTCACTGCTCCATCCGTATTGCTGTCCCTCTGGAAGAGCACTCTATCATAGATTAAGGTACACAAAAGGGGTTTAGTGTTGTTTTTTTTTAATTGTGATTGTAAAGTAAATGTCAGCTGTTCCATCTGCCCCTCAACATAACCATCATTAATTAGCTGTTTTCTTTTAGATGTTGCAGCAGAGGTGGATTTTTAAGGATAGATTTCAAAGAAGCGAGGACAATCGCCTGACAGCTCAGTTCAGGGAGAGCACTCCATGTGTGAGGGGCAGGGTGGAGCTGTGTGTGAGGGAAGCTGACAAACAGCAGAGAAAATTGTTATTGTTGGTGGATTAGA